ATGCCAGGGCCGAATTTTGGTCCCAGTCCACCCCTGGGGCTCGGGTTGGAGCATAAGGCTTTAACAGTTCAGTAATGTAGGGAGAAGCTTGACCATATAGAGCATTGAAAGTTATAGTCAGGATTCTAAAATGAATTCTAAAGTTAACGGGTAACCAGTGCAGAGACATTAGAACAGGAGTGATGTGTGCTCTTCTGTTTGCTCCAGTTAGGAGCCTCGCTGCAGATTTCTGGACCAACTGAAGGCGGCCAAGGGCTTTTTTATTAAAATATGTGAAGAGTGTGTTACAGTAATCTAGATGGGAGGAGATAAAGGCATGGATAACCATTTCAAGTTCATGTTTTGACACCAACCTTCACAGTTAGGAGATGATAAAAACTGTTTCGGACCAACGTTTTTGAGTGACCTTCAAGAGACATTGATTGGTCAAAAATAACACCCAAATTTCTTAAGTTTGTCTTTATGGCGGAGGATAAATGACCGAGTTTTAGACTAATCAGGGGAATCATGCTCTCAGGGGCAATGATAGCATTCAGTCTTTTCAGAGTTTAACTAAAGGAAGTTATCTTCTAGCCAGCTGGTGATAGCTGATAGACACTCTAGTAATTCAGGCAGTTTGTAGAACTCAGAATCCTTAAAGGAGCAGTACAGCTGAATATCATCTGCATATAGGTGATAAGAGACATTATGAAAAGAATCAGTTATCTGTCCAAGAGGGTGTAAGTACAGCAGAAACAACAGTGGACTCAAAACAGAGCCTTGGAGTATCCCACAGAACAGATGGGTAGAATCTGACATGATTTGGTTTATACAGACACTGTAATTCTGTTAGAAAGGTACGATCTAAACCAGAACAGTTCTAGAGAAGACATTACTTAGGTCAATGTCCAGCCTCCCCCACAGGTTCCCTGATATTGACTCTTAACAAGGGAAGACTCATCTGTCAGTGTTTCTCTGGGTTTTTAATCACTTTTATCTTAGCCTCCAGCTTAACTTTCCTAACAACTTACTGGTTTCACTGTTTTTTTTTTCTCCAGAGTCCCTGCAGCTTAGGCAGCACATCTGACCCTGTCACATTCCTCATCTCCACCAGCCATAAATGCATTTGTGTCTATGTATTTCCTCTGGCTCAGAGGTTTACTTGAGACAGTCCTTGTTACCTGTTATGTGCTGTAAGCAACAAGAGGAACGTCTGAATCATCGTGCATCCCCATCACCGTTGACAAGCGGTTTGGTGGGATGCTTTGAATTCTTTGTTAATGGCATGCACAGTTCAATAAACAGACTCTCCCCTAGATTAGAAAAAAGATATAAAAGCTATGTGGGAACTGTCATACCTCCAGGGCATAGTGAAATCCATGAGTAAGTAGCTGTGAGAAAAAATGAGTCCTACCTCTGGAACAGGTAAGAGAGGTGCAAGGAGGCAAGAAAAGCATACCAACAAGGTGCCAAACACACCTGAGAGTTTCAAAGGTACAAGAGTCGTCTCAAGGCACTTCACATAGTAAACATACCAATACAGGTCAGTTCATTAAGCCAATCAGAAAAAAGTTTCCTATATAAGGAACCCAGCAGGTTGCATCGAGCCACTGACTAGTGTCAGTGACTTTACAGCAATCCTCATACTAAGCAAGCATTTAGCGACAGTGGAGAAGAAAACTACCTTTTAACAGGAAGAAACCTCCAGAGGATCCTGGCTCAGTATAAGCAGCCATCCACCACGACACACTGGGGATGGAGAAGACACACACACACACACACACACACACACACACACACACACACACACACACACACACACACACACACACACACACACACACACACACACACACACACACACACACACACACACACACACACACACACACACACACACACACACACACACACACAACATATATACCAAGCAGTGTTTCTATGGTTACATTGGGATTTCTTAGTAAATCTTCTATTTGGTGAGAGATAAGCTTTATTGCATGTATCCGAGTGAATCTATAATTAAATGGGTAAACTATGTCAATGTCAAAGAAAGTAACATGTTATTATCAGGAGAGGGAGAATGTTTTAGTGGTTAGCAGCAGTGTGCTAGTCGATGGCCCCCTCCATGAGGGCACCACAGCTCAGCAGAACATCGTTGTAGCTTATTCTGGGGAGAAAAACACTTAGAGAAAAAATAAAGTTAATAGCTGAAATAGCAGGAAATAATACAGTTAAAGAGCAAATTGTAGAAGAAAGTAGTAGAGTGTGAAAAGTGGTCAGTGTATCCTCCAGCAGTCTAAGCCTATCAGCATAACTACAGAGATAACTCTGGATAACCTAGCCTTTTTAGATGGAGGCATGTTGGAGGCAGGGCAAGGGAGAGCCACATTTACCAGTTGTTCACTCGACCTCCCTCTACTCCCCCACTTGTCCAGATCTAGGCTAACACCAGATTTTAACCATAGGCCCTATCAAATAAAAATGTTTTAAGTTTAGTCTTTAAAGTAGACAAGGTGTCTGCCTCACGGACTAAAGCTGGGAGCTGGTTCCACAGGAGAGGAGCCTGATAGCTAAAAGATCTGCCTCCCATCCTATTTTTAGATATTCTGGGAACCACCAGTAAACCTGCAGTCTGAGAGCGAAGTGCTCAGCTAGGAACATTTGGAACAATCAGATCACTGATGTATGATGGAGCTTGATTATTAAGAGCTTTATATGTGAGAAGGAGGATCTTAAAATCTATTCTGAATTTAACAGGCAGCCAATGTAGGGAAGCTAAGACAGGAGAGATATGATCTCTCTTTTTAATTCTCATCAGAACTCTAGCTGCAGCATTTTGGACAAGCTGAAGACTTTTAACTACCGTAATTTACGGACTATAAAGCGCACCTCAATATAAGCCGCACCAGCAAAAAAAAAAAAGGTTTTCTACACACACACGCCGCACTCAAATACAAGCCGCGGTGCAGCAGTCACATGCAGGTCTCCGGCGCACAGCGCATGTATGGCCATAACATAAGATAATTAGACAGAAAGACGCTACACGGAAATTTTTCGTTGTTTTAATTCAACAAAATGAATTTTAAACACGGGTGAATGTGCCTTCAAGTTTAGAAAAGAAAACAGCACTGATAGCATAAAATAAAAACTGAACTGACACGTTATTACTGGTAATTTGCATGCATGTTTAGAAGAAAAGAACAGTGCTGACACAGCATTAATAAGCCCTGGATGATTAGAAAATACAGTAAAAACTGCACACAAAACATGCCTGGTTAGTAATGATCTGCACAGTGGAAACAGTGGAAACACCTCAGCCGTCTGCTCTTTGTGTGTTCACCCAGTCTTCAAGAATGTTTTCCAATTCCGGCCATCTGCTTTTATTTCCTCTGAAAGCTTTTGTCGTTTTTTTTTTTTTTTTTTTACATTGACTGAGTTCTTCCCGCTGCCACCTCCAACGTCACACCATTGATTCATTTATTTCAAGCTCCCGTGCAGTGGCTCTGTTTCTTTGTTTGATGGCCAGATTGATCACTTTTAACTTGAAAGTTGCAGTATATGCATTCCTCCGCGTGTTTTCCATGACGAGGGTATGTCTGATGTGTAAACGACGTGCCGCTTTCAATCAAAGAGCGTCTTCTTCCGCACATAACGTTTTGCCGTGCCTGTCTCACTTTACTGCTGGAGAGTACCTCTAGTGGTTGTTGGCCAACAAAAATCTTGCATGAGCTGCACCATGATGGCCGCAGGCTTCAAAGCACAGGGGAATAATAGCGGCTTGTAGGCCGGAAATTACGGTACATTCTGTGGACTTCCTGATAGTAATGATATACAGTAATCCAGTCTTGATGTAATAAATGCATGAACTAGTTTTTCAGCATCACTCCTAGAAAGGATGCATCTAATCTTAGCAATATTCTGAAGGTGGAAAAAGGAAATCCTACAAACCTGTTTAACGTGGGATTTGAATGACATGTCCTGGTCAAAGATAACACCAAGGTTCCTTACTTTGTTCTCGGAGATTAATGTAATGCCATTCAGGTCAGGTGACTGACTAATCAATTTCCTTTTCTGAATTTCCGGTCCAAAGATGAGAACTTCCATCTTGTCTTGATTTAAAAGCAGAAAGTTTAGAGTCATCCAATTTTTATGTCTTCAAGACAAGCCTGTAATCGAACTAACCGATTAGGTTCATCAGGGTTAATGGATAAATATAGCTGAGTATCGTCAGCATAACAGTGGAAGTTTATCCCATGCTGTCTAATGATTTTACCAATTGGGAGCATATATATAGTAAAAAGAATTGGTCCAAGCACTGAACCCTGTGGTACTCCACAAGTAACCCTGGAGTATGAAGACGATTTGTCATGTACATTTACAAAATGATATCAATCAGACAGGTAGGATTTAAACCAGCCTAACGCTGTTCCTTTGATCCCTACAACATGTTCAAGTCTTTCTAAAAGAACATTGTGATCAACTGTGTCAAAAGCAGCACTGAGATCTAACAAGCCTAGAACAGACAAGATTCTTATCTGAGGCCATGAGAATATCATTTGTAACTCTCACTAATGCAGTTTCTGTGCTGTGATACTCTCTAAAGCCAGACTGAAACTCCTCAAACAGATCATTAAATGCGCACATACTTGGATGGCCAGTTGGCCACTATTTTCTCCAGGACTTTGGATAAAAATGGAAGATTAGATATTCCTCTATAATTCATTGGGTCATCTGGATCCAGAGAAGGTTTCTTAAGTAAAGGTTTGATTACAGCAACCTTAAAATCCTGTGGTACTTAAGGGATTTCCTCTCTTTTTTAAGTACAGAGGTGTTTTCAAGCGGTTATTCGAATAATTACCACATTAACCGTCAAAAGCGTACACTAGTGTGCCTGCACCAGGACGCTCATATCGTTTGTCCTCACCTGCCAGCGGGCGCGCACGGCCTGTTCCTAAAAGGCGAACTGATTGGCTTCCTGAGCTGCGCGTCAGGCGCACGGGGCTGGCCCGGACGCAGGAGTTTATTGCTCTGAATGTTTGGCAGCAGCATTCAGACTACCGCTCAGACAGAGAAGCGGTCCTGTTACCATCAGCTGTCCAGTTGGGACGCGTTTAACCTGGATTATCCCCGCGCAGCGTCAGTTGCTTCACAGCGAATCTTTAGATCATGCGAGTTCGGACTTGAGCGAATCAGAAAATCGTCTCGTTTCTTCTCCGCGTTCATTTAGGAGGAGGACAGTTTAATTTTAAGGCACGACGTAAATGCCAGCAGCAATGAACAAGAACGGGATGGTGACCGAAATCCACACCAGGATCAGGAAAGAGCCGTTCACGGCCAACTACGAGCTGGTGGGGAGAGAGCTGGGCAGGTGAGTGGATTTTTATGGCTGTAAAAGTCCGCTTTCTGGTCTTTGTTGTGTTAACTCTGAGGCTGGACTTTGCAGGAATGCGTAATCTTTAACAAATCGTGTAATCATATTAGATTTGTGCACGTGCTGGGGAAGCCTGCTAATTGAACATTGCAATCCCGCATTCATGTGAGCAGCGCTTGGCACCCGCGGCGCGTAAAAATTGTAATGCGCTTTGTTGGGTTTGGGTTTAAATCTTCCGATTTGTTTTGTTTGATTTGTCAGATTTGATTCAAAAACGCTTGCACTGAGTTATGTGAAGATAATCAAACTTTTAGTTGCAGCATCGGGACTCTGAATGAAGAAGCATGGCCCTCTTCAGGGGGGTTAGGAACTACCGCTTGTGGTATCGTTTCTGTTTAAACCCACGTTTGTGGCCACATATTGCAGTAGTGGAACAGCATTTTCACTTGTCATGAACAGACCTGCAGATTTAATTAGATTTGTTTAAAAAGAGATGAGTTAACATGATGAAACAACCTGGTTAAAAGGAGAACAGATCATTATTAATGTCCTCCTTATTAGTGAGAATGTTCTCTTGATAATTGTCCACGTCATGTTTCCTTGGGGATCCGATCTTGGTGAAAACAGCATCTACAATCACTCCTTGTGCAGTTTGTGGCTGTCAGAGTTGGCACAGTGGCAAATGAACAGGCTGCCTACCACACCTGACCTTTGCCTGCTGAGCAGCTGTTTAATTGTCCCCTCTGCTAATTCTGGCCTACCCCACCTGCTTAACCTCTGAGGGAAATGATATAGGAGTCCCAATCTTTCCTCCAGACCAGGTTGTATTCACGTTTTTAAGCTATAAACCTTTTAAAGCTAATTCTCCTGTCGTTTCCCCCATGATTTCCACCAAACCTCCTGAGATCAGGCCTCATAATCCCATTAGGCAGAGGAATGCATGCAGCATGGCATGACAGGAAATCAGGTGTAAAGTCTGTACATGAAGACGTTTAATAGAGCCTGGCGGTGCCAGATTTGATTGTTCACCCAGTTGCTGCCCTTTAACCCCTACTCGCTCATAATCAGACTTGTTTTCTGTGCCGGGGTCCCCTGCAGATTCTGCAGAGCAAACGCTGAAGCAGGAAGAGGAACTTGGGCTGTGCGCCTGTCTAGCTGTCAAACGAGAGCTGTGAGAGCTGTCGCTCCTCACAAGCACACCAGACATGTCAGTGGCCCGCTGGGGGAGCCAAAACGCTAACCCCACAGGAAGCCAACCTCTCAGTCTAATTACCGCAATACCAGGAGCTGCTGGGCATTCGATCTGTCCCTTGGTAAAGTTAGTGATGAGTAGTTTCTCTTTATCACTTGTAAGTCACTTTGGACAAAAGCTTCTGCTAAATACGTAAACATATTGAGAATAGCCCTGATGTTGAGCTCTGCTCTGCTGAAAGGGCAACACCCTTGAGTCGCTACAGCGAGCTTTTTATCCCAAAAGATGGAGAGCATCTGAAAACATGACAAGTGTGAACATTGCCAGCTGGACGATGGCCTTGTTTAGTGACCTCTGACCTGTTGTCAACCCCACAAAGGGCCTCCTGGTGCTCTTTTATGTTGTCACTAGTCATATCTTTTCACGCCATATGTAGTTCCCAGCCCACAGATCTGAACTTGGCTAATTAAGGATGAAAAGGCTGTGACGACTTTTGCCCTCTGACGCCGAAGAATGACGCGACGCCATTCTGCGAGAATGGCAACCTGCTGAAGAGAAGAGCCCGGGCCTCACAGCGGCCAGGACTGGAGCCAGAACCAAGTCAGACTTGAGCCAGAGCGGTTCTGGTCAGCAGGATGGCGCGCTGGGGCTAACCGCTGTGTGGGAATACGACTCGCCCCACGCGGAGCGGACCGGATTCTCTTTTCATTTAGACTCTGCTCATCTCTTCACATTCACTTTTCACACGTCTCCTGGCTCTTGGAGACATTAACTGGACAGAGATGTTTGGACAAGTGTCTGTTATTCACGCTCCAGCTCAGCCGTAGCAGGAGACCCCCCGCTTGGATTCACCAGCCACAATTAGGTGGGTGGTCCTGGTCCGGAGGCCGCTGTGTTTAGCCGACTGGTCCGCTTTTGTGCGACCGTCAAAAGAGACTCTGTCTCTGACTGAGGGTCTGGGTGGAGGCGTCAACACAATTCCATTTGTCCTCGCTGCTGTCAGCTGTGAAGAAAGGGAAGTGGACAAGGTCTTATTATCAGTGTGGGAGGGGCAGCTGCTGATTGTGTTTGTTTGACACATGGTGGCAATTTTGCACATATCCGACATCCTGCCCACACCCGTGGATGAGCTTTGACACTTCCTTTGAATTTTTCCATGTAGATGGACAAACATCAATTGTTTTTGGCTGGTGAAAGTTTATGCTCTTTTTTTTTTTCAGAGACCAAGTAGTTTCACCCTCATCAGGCCTTTGCCCACTTAGCAGCTTCTGCAGAACGTGAGGGGCTCATCAGCTCCTCCTGAAGGTTAAACTCATAGGAAGGCAATGGGGGGGAAACGCGCTGCTTTTTAATTGATGCCGTTCAGCCATCTTTATCTCTGTCCGTGTCCAGAACTGATCCGTCGCAGGTTTGTGGGTTTCCAGAGCTCACAGCTGTCTCGCTGACCCAGACTGAATCCAGCAGCAGGAACTACAATCAACCCCGTACGACGTGTTTATTTTTCTGTCTGTCTCCCTTCCGACCACTCACAAAATCTTTGACTGCTTTGTCGTTTTCCAGGGGAAAGTTTGCAGTGGTGAAGAAGTGCGTAGAGAAGGCGACGGGAAAGCAGTTTGCTGCCAAGTTCCTGCGAAAGCGACGGAAGGGAGCGGACTGCCGCGTGGACATTCTGAACGAGATAGCTGTGCTGGAGTCGGCCAAGGAAAGCCCGTATGTGGTGGGGCTGCACGAAGTCTACGAAACCAACTCTGAAATCGTCCTCGTCCTGGAGTGGTGAGACCCTTGTCTGAACATTACAGACGAACGCCGTGCTCTGTTCCACGGCCTCTTTCAGAAACATGACACAACTAGGACGGCTGCTTTGTAAACATTCGCTACACGTTTGCACAATTTAGATTTTTTTTTTATCGGTTATCTTAATTTGTTGAGGGGTCTGTTCTTTTAATTAGTGTAAATCTTACAAATGTGCCATGCAACGTCATGTGTTCTGCAGAATTCAAACCTTTGATGCATGAAATGCACAAGCTTGCATTACGCTTCCTTAAATGGAAAATGGGTTTGTCTGTGTGGTTATCTGCTCTGCTCGCTGTTGCCACGTCACCTCAGCCTCTTGTTACGCTCGTTCTCAGGAACTGTCACTTCTAACCCTGCTGAGGCAAAAACTGCACTCTGTGAGAAAATGATGAGTAGTAGTATTTAGCGGCATGTTAGGTTTTAGAGTGTCATCTAAATGACTTTCCGATGAGCACGCAGGTTCTGGTTTTGACAGCCGTTGAAGCGCTCAAGCTGCATGAGCAGTTTCACACCAGCTGTCTGGCTCTTTGCTTATTGAACAATACGATGTAACAGGTCATTGTTCTAACTTAATTAGAATTTGGAAAGACCACTTAGCGTGTCAGGAACCTGGCTTGCTTCGGCAGAGGCAGATAACTCGGTGCAATTAGGCTCCAAGCGTGTTTGTCTGATCCCAGACGAGATAGCTTTTGCAGAACAAAGCTGCTCTGGCATTTCTGTTTGACCTCTGAGTAAAGTATGAAGAGAAGTAGCGCCTTACATGCCGTTTAGAGGAAAGGGTCAATGCAGGTCACCTTCTTGTGTGTGAGCAGCGTGCTAATGCTCAGCTGCTTGGTTTTTAAATGTCAGGTGTCCCAAAACCTGCAGAAGCACTCATGATGAAAGTCGAAACCTGCTGGGTAAAAAGAAAAAGCTTCTGACTTCAGCACCAGTTTAAAAGAATTGCAACCTGTTTTCCATTTCCTGTGGGTTTAAATGTTAGCAACAAGCGAGGCTCCCAAAAGTACAACACCATGCACAACGTGGCCACAACCACATCCTCGCCGTGTCAGAGAAATGACAGAAGTTGAGCCCTGATCGTGTAAAAAGTGCTGCTTAAGTGTGCGTCAGTCCCACAGAAGCTAAGTTTAGAGACGGTCATTTTGAGAACGATGAGTCGCCTTTAAGATCAGAAAGAGGAAATCGAGAAATTGGGTTTTCGTTTATTATGCGACACCATCCAGACCTCTCTGGCCTTCAGCTGAACCGTCAGAGACACAAAGCCTTGTGCAGAAAATCCAGCCAAGTGTAAGGTTATCCCTGGTGACACCGGCTGGCACAGCGCCGTTGTTGACGGAAATCGGCGCCGAGCTCGGTGGTCCGCCAACAAGAGCTTTGATCAAATGGCTTTTCCTGCAGAATCGGAGTGGATTTATTTGCTACAGAGGAGGATGACTGGAGTCTCACTAGTGGCAGAGGCGCTTTTAACAACCAGGATCTTTAATTCGACACGTTAGTACCGAACCTTCTTGGAAAGAACACAAAAGCTATTATCTGGCCTACAGGAAAGCAGGTCTTGCAGGCTGACTATGTGGTCTCTTAACTGATTTAAAACAAACCTGACTTTATCAAGATCAAATTCCTCAAGCTGAAAATTCCTGAAACACTTTGTCCTTTAACTGTTCAGACGGGCTCATTAAGAGCTTACAGCTGCACCTGATGACAAATTAGGTTTGACAGCCATGAATTATAATGTTTTTATGTTCAAATTAGAAACACCCTTTTTGTTTTCCACATTCAGATTATGTCAAATAAGCCTGCTGTTCTGAAACCCGGCGGGGGGGGGGGGATACTTCGTTTAATGAAGACCAATAGTTTGTGTCTTTTTAGGAATATTTTTTTAGATCAAGAAGCGGGAAAAAAAACTCCTTTTAGCAGCTGAGGTGAGGTAAAAATCCCTGGTTAGGAGCCTGAGGTGGTAGCTGGGAGGGGCTGGTTATGTAACCGCTTTCCTCGGAGTATAAAGAGCATGTATGCCTTCCAAATCCCCCACACATGGTTGTAGTTTTCCTGGGTGAACTGTCAGCTTCAGGCCCTGATCTGACTGATACGGGGACATCAAACATAAATCCACCATGTCTCCACTTTACTTAACTGTGTTATACAAGAGCAGGGGGATCAGTCAGGAATCCGACTGAACTTTCTCTAAAAGTCTGACTTCAGAAGCTCCAAAAAGAGTAATCCCTTGGTTTGGATCAAAGAAGGGTGAAAATCTGGAGCCATCGTATTCTCCTCCCTTTTATAAATAATTACATTCGTCTCGTTTGATTATTTCCAGTTGTATGCACTTTGCTTAAGCTTCTTCCTCCAATTTTAGTGACCTTAGATACTTGATATCAAGCTGGAGCAGACCTTATCTCAGCCTGGTGTTTGCTCATGAAACCGCTCTTATCTCTGTAATATTCCATGACAAAAGAGATTAATTTCCAGGCAGGGTGCCAAAAATGTTATTGATTTATGTAAGACATGCATGCGGCGTGTAGATGTGGACGCACTTTGTTCCTTTCAGGCCAAATGAACAGATGACCTGTTGCATCATTTTTAAAAAAGGAGTTTCTTTAGTTTGGAAAGCGAAAATTGTTTAAATGTTTTGTGTTTGCTCATTTTTTTCTCCTCCTTGTTTGCAGTGCTGCTGGTGGCGAAATTTTCAACCAGTGCGTGGCCGATAACGACGAGGCTTTCACAGAGAAGGATGTTGTACGACTGGCCAAGCAGATCCTAACCGGAGTGGCCTTCCTGCACCAAAACAACGTGGTCCATCTGGATCTGAAAGTAAGGAGGCTGCGTTTACGAGGACGTTTCATTCCCTCGAGGGTTGGGACTGGGAGAGCTGGTACTTCTGTTATGCAACCAGGCCTTGTTTGGTGTGTCTTGACCCTGTTCCCACGAGGAACCAACCCGAGAAAACCATCGTGCTTTTCTTTTAAGTGGATCTTGTTCTAACAATGCTGTCACGAACGGGGTCTTCTACATCAAGAGTGTCTGGTTTCTCCTTACATGATGTCCTGTAGGTGAAGTGATCCACCCATAGCACGAGTGTGTTGATATTAGGTCGTGTCTTTCTTTTTAGGGGCTTTTATTGCGTGAATACCACTCAGATCTGTGAATTTGTGGTTTGAAAGCCTCTATTGGGTGGATCATAATTCCCTCTGTTGTTGGCATTGAGCCATCTGAACCTGAGGTGAACTTGTATGCTTGCAGCTTTCAGGCTCTGCTGTCGCTAAACAAACCATCTCAAAACATTAGAGAGAGAGATCCCAGCAGGATGATCGAAGCTCTAACAACCTGTCGCTAATCTGTCTCCAGCCCCAGAACATCTTATTGACCAGCGTCCGCCCGCTCGGTGACATCCGTATTGTGGACTTTGGCTTGTCCAGACGCATGGACAGCGTCACTGAGGTCAGGGAGATCCTGGGTACACCAGAGTACGTGGGTGAGTTCAGCTTTCCAGCTCCCACGGCCGTTCCTTTTCAGTTTGAGCGCAACGATTAATCAGGTCCGCATGTCTCTCTTCCAGCACCGGAGATCCTGAACTATGAACCCATCAGCACTGCTACAGACATGTGGTAAGTCGGCTCCTTTAAATGCAAACTTGAATGCAAAAATATTTTAAAGTCTAGACCACAAGATAACCCTTGTTCCTGTTGTTGTCTGACAGCAGCGTCGTGGCAGGAAGCCAAAGAGGTCGTTCGTATTAGCGACACAACATAACCTCCTTCTCCTTCCTCCCTGTGCTAGGAGCATCGGAGTCCTGATCTACGTCATGCTGACAGGCGAGTCCCCCTTTCTGGGTGATGATAAGCAGGAGACGTTTCTCAACATCTCCCAGGTCAACGTGGACTACTCACAGGAAACGTTCGAGGAAGTCTCCTCCCTGGCTGTTGACTTTATCAAGTCCTTGTTGGTGAAAAACCCCAGGTGAGTTTTTCCACATGAAAGATTTTTATGATTCTGACTCTGAAAGGAACACAGAGCAGCGTCTTACACACAGAGGATGTGAGTCATGACCGCAGGAAGTACATCCGCATGCGTATGGATGAGTCTGTGGTACCAAGTTTAGCGTCACATTGGCAACGATTCACTTCCGCTTTTTTTTTCAGCTGGCAACAGTAAATTGTCCTCACTTAAAGAGCAAGTCACCCCCAAATCACATTTTTTTTGCTGATAAACTATATAAAGGAGTGTCTAATCATGCTACAGACACGTGTCGTCAATAATTTGGCAGTTCAGTGCATCTTGGTTAAAATTCAAATATTCTGCCTAAAACTGTCAGTGTTGCGCCGTCGTCAGGGAAAAATTGTGCACTGTATTTGAATTTAAATCTGCCACCGCTATTGGCTAAGAGGTATGCTATGATGTCATCTGGTATATTATGATGCCATTGTGAGCCTGTGTGTGTGCGTGTTTGTTAGCAGCTCCGCCTTCTCGGTCTGCCAAGCAACAGCATTTGTTGCATTTTTCAAACATGAAGTGTGAGTGAAGTAAGTTTATTGTAGGGGGTGACTTGCTCTTTAAGAACAGTTTAGTTCATTTAACTGCTTTGGACACTCATGCAAGTGTCACCGTGTCAAAAGAATGAAGGGCTAAATAGTTGTGGTTAGCTTCACTCGTCCCCTAATTCTGATCGACTGCTCCAGCAGAGAGGCCCTAATTTGTTACCGCAGTGTGTCTGAAGCATAGCCACAGTCTCCAGCCAGCATCACATTAGTGGGAGAACTGGAAAAAGGCACACTTTCTCAGGGTTTTGGTAATCGGGGAGACGAGAAGGAGGGAAAACAGCTTAAGAGTAAAAAGTGCTGCGTTTGTGGTTTTCCAAACCCAGTGTTGGAACGAAATATGGCCGACCCCTCGGAGTAAAGAGCTCGACAGTCCGATGGTTGTATAAAGTCTCTGGGAATTTCCACTCATCCACAGTGTTATTGTGTTTGTGTGCACAGGAAGAGAGCCACAGCAGAAGAATGCCTCAATCACCCCTGGCTGAACTCGCATCCCCACTCCCACCCGCACCTCCACACGAGAGCAGCCTCCTCGCTGGACGAGCCCGAGACGAGCCAGTCCGAGTCGGAGCCTGAGAGCCCCGCTTCCTCCCCCGAGCTGGGACTGATCGGGTCCTACCTGATGTGTCCGGGGAAGGGCGAGCTGAAGGCGGGCCGCGACACCTTCTCATTCAGCGAGCCCCCGTTCCCCACGAGAACTGAGATACAGCAAGAGCTGATCTGCTGACCAGCATTTGAAAGAGTGGGGGAACTGAGACTGAGCGGAGCAGACGCCAGTGAGCCTGCAGCTCCGTGGTCTCGTCCTGGACCAGAACCTTGCTCTGTGGCTGCTTTCTGCCTGGCTGCCTTTACTGCTGTGATGTCTGTGTGCTTGAACGATAATACCTTCTCTGTGCCGTGCTGCTTTGAGTAATCGCACATGAGGAGTATGAGGGATGAAGTCAAACGAATGGGAGACGATACATGAGGATTTGGCCGCACGACTGCACTGCCGGGACAGAAGTGAACTTCACTCTGTCTACTTCCCTCCTACACTGGTCTCTTATTTTTCTTCTAACAAGCCTGTTGGCTGGTCTCTGTTCCTTAAGAGTGACCCAGCTCATCATAACACCTTAAATATCGGCTCACTCACACGTGCATTTGTAATCGTTTCCATTTGAGACGATGGATGGGCATCAAAGTTGGTTCTGTGTTAAAGGGGCAGCAGCTAAGCTGAGGCCAGAAATGAAATGTCACTGTTTTAGTGTTTATTTATGTGTCATACCACATCTGCCACTCAAAGTCACAAAGGCCTTCGTTTAAGTGCGATGTAGTAGCATTCTTGTTTTAAAGGACGATCTTGAGCACTTTTTGATTTAGTTTTTGGACGTCTGCATTTGAAACTAAAGGTTTATGAAGCAAAGTACTGTAAATAAATGTCCATGTATGTAAGTATGCTAATGTGCTACGTTTTCAACCTCACCTTTGTTTAATATTGGCCTTGGCCTCTTTTTTTTTCACTTGTTTGTTGTTGGCTATTGCACAAGTTGCACAGAATATTTTGTACTTAACAGCCTCTAGGTTTCATGCTCTCCAGATATTGCAGCATCCACGGTGAGAGGAGGGAGCCGTGAGGGGTGGAAGCAACAGTCCAGTTTGGTTACGCGATGTAATGAAATGACAAGAGAGTGACGCGGTCAACTGGTGGCTCATGTTCATGCAAATGTGTTGCCTTCAGATTCTCGGGAGCAGAGAAACATGAATGGATTTCTCAAAAATAAGTTATGACATGTTTATTGTGAGTTAGAGTTGAGATGAATCTGTAAAGATGGCTTTTTTTAACCAGTGGAACAATGTTTGAATCAATCCATGTCTTTTTGTATGTTAACTCTTACTTGTTCCTGTTGGATTTCAGGAAGGTTTGCACTTGTCCCTGTGGACATCATGTTAAAAATAAAGAAATGTTTGTTCATGGAATGCATTGCAAGTTGAAACTAAGAAAATATAGAAGTGCTTTTGTATCAAATGCTGCTGTCTGGAGTTGTTTTCTTCGTTCGCTTTTTAAACAAGAGCTACGCGATGAAGGTATTTTTTCTTTTTTAACTCAGGCTCAGAAGAAGTTTTGAAAAAAGGATGAACAACTAAGGCCCTGTCCACACGTAGCAGGGAATCTGCAAAAACGTAGATATTTTTCTACGTTTTGGCCTGTCATCCACACAAAAACGGAGTTTTTTCATACGAAAACGGATCTTTTTAAAAACTCCGGCCAAAGTGAAGATCTGCCTTTTCTCCGTTTTGGGTGTCTGCGTGTGGACAGACAAAACCGGAGTTTTAAGGTCCGCAACGTCACTTTCCGCGACAAAAAAAATGCTGACATCACGTGTGCGACCTGTGTTTACACTAGCCGACAGCATGGATGCCCTCAGAGCTGCGCTCGCTTTATCAATTGTCCAAGCGCTTTTTGCTTGTTTGTTTTTGCAAGCGGAATTACTGCTCCTTGTGGAAGACCACAGACGAAGGACGAGGTTAAGAACGGGGGAAGTACTGCCGCCTACAGGTCTGGCATGTCCTTAACAACGTATTTATCCGGGTACGTGTGGACAGTTTTTTTTAAAGCGAGGTGGTGTGGATGCAAGTTTTTGGAGGGGCGAATATTCGTTTTAAAAAAAAACCGGCTATGTGTGGACCAGGCCTAAGTCCTTCAGGGGTACTTCTGAGTTAAAAAATGCTCTAGAAATACGTATGTGGAGTAAACAGGTAGGTAGGTTTTAATGTTGCAAATCTGCAATGCCTGCCTCCAGAGGGTTAAAGTATTATTTTTTGGCAATAATTTTAAAGAAAACATTTAAACGGACCCAAAAACATAAAGCAAGACCCCCCCACCACCACCACACGTGACGGGATAAAACTCAAAGATGAACGTTAAACAGACTCTAAAGTAACGCTGAAATATGCACGCGACCCTACAGAAATAATAAAAGCCCTTTATTGTCCCTCATCGGGGAAATTCTGGTGCACCAGAAGCAAAGTTACAGATAAGTTAAGAAAAACAGATTCACACAATATACCTGTGTGTGTGTGTGTGTGTGTGTGTGTGTGTGTGTGTGTGTGTGTGTGTGTAAATGGAATGAAAAATAAGAATAGAATTGAGATTGTAAATTATTTATAGCATGGATTAAGTAATGACACAAAAATATTATGTCATGATGGCAGTATGAGACTAGAGGTGGAACAATGTAATATCATACCATGTTAGACTCAGATTCCGTGTCACAAAGGCAAAAACTGAGAAGGGGTTATTGCTTCCATCAATGTGCAAATAGAAGCAGATAAATGACATGTGAACATACTCAGGATGTGTCTGCATCATCAAATTGTCTCAATAAATGAAAGAAAACCATAAAAAGGAAGCTACAACTGAAAGATGAGGGACGAAACCCATTCAGTTGGCACATTTTTGGGGATCAACACTCACTAAACACTTTTTTTCACTCGTATGTTGAAGCTCAAACTGGGCATCAGACAGGGAGAAAGCAGATTTGAAATGAGAAATTGTAAACTGATAACTAATAAACAAGAAAATGTCTAACTGGTTTTGGAGAAGAATGGTCAGACTGGATCTACATCACCACTCCAACCAATATCTGTAGAACAGGGTCTCTGAACCACAACATGTTGAACCCTGAAGCAGATGGACTCCAGCAGCAGAAGACCACACCAGGGGTCTCTCCTGTCAGCTAAGAACAGGAAACTGATGCTGTAATTCACACAGGGTCACCAGAACTGGACCAGAAGAGACTGGAAAACATTTCCCAGTCTGATGAGTCTGGATTTCAGCTGCAACATTAAGATGGTTGGCTCAGAATCTGGCGTCACCAACATGACAGCATGGATCCATCCTGCCTTGTATCAATATTTCAGGCTGCTGCCGGTGTCATGGTGTGGTGATGGTGATGTTCTTGTCCCACTATGGACCCAATAGTACCACCTGAGCCTGGTTTAAACACCACAGCCTGCCTGAGTCTTGTTGCTGACCATGTCCATCCTTTTATGACCACATGGACCCATCTTCTGATGGCTACTTCCACCAGCATAAAGCACCATGTCACAAAGCTCAGATCATCTCTAACCAGTTTCTAGAACATGTCCACGAGTTCACTGGACTCCAACGACCTCCACACTCGCCAGATGTGGGTCCAGTCCAGAACCTTTGTGACGTGGTGGAACAGCAGATTCCCATCATGGATGTACAGCAGACAAATCTGCAGCAACTATGTGATGTCATCACGTACTTACACACACTGTTTGCCTAAAATTATAAAACCGCCAAAGTATCAAAGAGAAAACAGAAAATAAAACAGCAACAAAAGCAAAGAAGATTGTCTGCAAAAACACATCAGCACACTTCACACAGCAGAGGGACCAGGCCTGTATCAGGCTACATAAACTACTCATGAAGTTTCAGATGTATTTAAATAGACTGGAGTCAAATACAACACCAGAGGTTTTGTGTAAATATTACTTTATTGTATTTTAACAGTAATAAGTGTAAAAGTCCAGTTTTAGTAGCTTAATAAGAAAAAAACAATAAACACACCAAAGAAACAAAACAGAGCTAAAACAGATTGTTTAAACAGTCGGATAAAACTTTACACTTTCATGCTTATTAGGACTCATAAGATGAATCTCATGTTGCGTAATACAGGAGATGAACAGTGGAGCCTTTTAGTGCTTTTCTGTTCAACAGTATGGAAATGTACCTGGATCATGAAAGAAAACAGATTGTAATCCAAACCAGACAGTTGTACTGTAATGCTCAGGAACCATCTGCTTTGCATGTCATCGTGTCTATTTACAGCCACCAAGTGTCATAAAAATGCGTCCCCTCTTGGGCCAGTTTTCCATAAATATCCAACAGCCTCTCTGAACAGGAAATACCAGCTTCCAGTAAAGAGGAAGTTGGGGTAACACTTTCCAAGATAGTGAGTTTCTTTTCCTTTCATGCTCCTGTGCTTGTTTACATGGCAGGTTGAACAATATCCCTGCTTGTCAATACCCCAAATTCTTTCTTTAATGAGTTCTTCCTGTTGTCCTCAACGTTTAACTGTTGCAGCAAGTGGAGAGAAAGCAGGACTTCCTGCAGGTCTTGGTCTGCTTGCTCTTGGCTGGATGAACTGCTTCCTTAAAAGAAAATCCTGCTGCTGCGTGGAGCTGAGGAATGCCAGAAATGTTCATAACTGGCCTCCTTTCTTCCTGCAAACTGTCCTTTGTTCCTCTCTTCCCCTCATCTTCTCTGAGAGGCCACTGGTACTGTTTCCACCCTGCAGTCCACATGCAAACATGTGGTTCAAGTCCCCTTTGATAGTGAGTGGCCAACACAAAATGATTTAAGGCAGAGTTTGTGTGATCTCAGAACTTGCGGACTGCAGAATTTGGCTTTGATGGACACTCAGTTTCCTCAGATCTGAGAAAGCCACCAGACAGAAACAGATAACCTACTTCCACCAGTCTGAGGACGCATTAAAGGCATTAAGATACAAAAACATGTTGCTTTTCAACCAAACATTGAGGTGCAGTACTTCAGAAAACCCATTAGTGCCTCTTGAGTTTGTATATTAAAAGGAAACAAGAGCAGTCAGATAAAATTCTTTCTGTAATATAAACCTAAAAGTAGATTTTGGCTCCGATCTTTCAGTGGGAGTTTCGTGTCACACTAATTAACTACACATCAGCAGTCCTCGACCTTCAAGTCTTTTTTTAACTTGGAAAATCGAAATGTCAACACTGCTTGTCAGAGATGCTGGAGGAGTTATTTTAGCCTCGCTCTAATCTGCTGCCTAATGCTAACACGGCTGTAAACCAACATTTGTTTATGTAAAGCACCTTTTTCATGGTCAAATATTAGACGTCACTCGTCACCGCAACAGTGAAGCGACTCACAGTTGGCTGGACTTGTTGCCCCGCCTCCCTCATTGTCACACCATGGACAAGGACAGGGTCAACTAAAGTGGTCCTTGTCTCCTTGACCTGGCTCTTCCCCTCCTCCAACCTGGTGTCCTGGACCTCCTCTTCCTTCTCTTCCATCTCTTTTTGTGCCTTCTCCTCCTCTAGCACCTCCTCTACCCTGGTTTTCCAGATCTCCTTGTTATGGCCACCTTCAGATGCAGGAGCCAGGATCACCCAGCCCCGGTGATCAGCCAGACCCCGCCCCTCCTCCTCCTCTCCTCCAGGCTGCTTGTTAAAAACATTTTAAATTAGTTGACTTACTTTCAACTTGAAATTTGCCCCTGAAGTAGCTGCCGACTTCAGATCCACCATTCTTTTGAAAATACTGCGGTGTGTTCTGGGTAATTTTTGACCAAGGCTAGGCTACAAGACAACTCCCGTGTATCCTTGCTCAGCTAGCTAAACGGCTAACAAATGGAGAACACACGCCTCGGTAGAACATGAACATTGGAACGCGTCTTGGCGGTTCCTGATGACGTATCTCCTAGGCAACCGGGGCGGGGCCAAGACAATAAGGCAAGGTTCCTTGGCATTGAGAAACACCCTCACAGCTACTGCGAGGGCAAATTTCAGGTTTAAAAGTAAGTCAAGTCATTTTAAATGTTTTTTTAAGATCCAAAGAAGTTATCTATGGTTGGTTAGTTGCTTAGTAGTTGCAGTTTCGGTGGCTAGCGGGTAGTAACTCACTTAAATATTTAATTGAATAAACATGTACACAGTTTAAAAAGTAAAATTGTTACATATTTATATTAAAACTTATATGTAAAAAATAGAACATTGTCTTCCGTGTCACGTTATGTTGCGTGACCCGCTGTGGAAGCCGAGGTCACGTGATGCAAGTCTGTTCCATTTAAACATTTTCTTTGACCAAGGAAAGACCGTGTCCTCATAAGCAAGGTGCCTGGCCTCGCCAAACACCCCTAGTGTTTCCAGTTGGTTAATTGCGTGTTAATTGAGCTCAAGCTGTGCTGACTTCAGTTAACATAATTGGCTGCTAGTGCTTTCCAAATGACCACATGG